AAATTGAAAAACTAGCCGTTATTGTTGACTTTTATTAGACGAGTGGGGCCTAATAACGGTTATATTTTCAATTTTAATTGGATTTTAATCGGTATCAAACGGGCTCTATGGCCCTGTTTGAGAGGGATTAAATTTTTCTACAGTAAATCAATTCTCATTTTCAACCACACATTTTTCAATAAAATAATATTTTCCATCACATCAATATTTTTTCTTCTTTTTCAACCACACATTTCCTATCATATCACTATTCAAAATCAATTATTTTTCCAAAAATCTCTCCCAAACAAGTTATTAGTCAAAATTCAAATATATTCAATAGTGCTTTGCAATGCCTTTTGTCCTCGCCGTAAAATAAATTTTTTGTATTTATTTGAATTTGAAATTATTTTAAAAATTTTGTTGATGATATTGGCATAAATCGAGTTAACCGGTTACTCACACCTTATTCTATTGTGAAACCAATTTGGGAGTCGAGCTCTTGTTTGAATACATGAAGTCAAGTTGCCATTACATGACTCTTTTTCGTCTAATCTAATTGGCCTAAGAACTTCTTGTCATCCTTGATACATTAGCTTGTCATACTCTCAATTGAACGCTCTATACATTTCATACCATCCAGAACAACTTAATAGCTTTCACTTGCTACAAAACTAATTGCTTGTGCATAAGATGCTATGGTGCCTCCTTATAATACTTGTATTAATTAGATACATTCACTACAATAGTGTTGCTTGCATCCAAGGCATCAAACATATATTGCATTTGATCAACTCGCAACACTTATTGTTCGAAATTATCAAGTATCTCATGTGATTTGTCTCAATCCATATCAAATGTATAGAGTGCTGGGAGAAATTTAATTTTTTTGGAGCTTAAATTTAGCTTTCCTTGATCCCACGTCTATATTCAAATATAGAATAACGTTTACATGGGCAACATACAAGTATGGGAAAATATGGATCATAGTTGTTCATGTGGGATGACCTGACCCACGGGAGATTAAGTGGATGTCTGGGAGCAATTGTACCCAACAAAAATTGATTTTTGGATCACATCATGAGGG